AACTAGGAGCTCAAGCCCCATCACAGGGGGACTGCTTGCCCAAGACCCATCCTCAGGAAGAATCACCCTGACTCCAGCCCCGTCTGATGCTGCGACAGAGGGAAGTAGGGGGTGTGGGACTTGGAGGTCGCACAGCCCCTGCTCTGGTTCTAGTGGAAGCCGTGGGGCAGGGGTGCACAGCCATGGCTCTGACTGATGCTGAAGGAAGGGGATGCTCAACCAGCTGCTGACAGCTGACGCTGAACAAGTCAGGCCAGAAAGACACGTTTGCAAAGTGGGTCTGTGCTTTTAAGATGGCTCCTGCCAGTCAGCCAAAGCCCATCTTTGTGGTTGCTTCTCTAGGAACAGTTATGGCTCCTGCCAGTCAGCCAAAGCCCATCTTTGTCTTTGTGGTTGCTTCTCCATAGGAACAAATTTCCCGAGGGACTGCAGAGCCCAGGGAATCCCAGAGCTTTCACTACTAAGGCATTGCTATAAATCTGGCCAGTATGGACGACCCTTCACCTGCAGGGGCTGGGAACCATGCGGTCCCTCTGCTCCTAGCCGCTGGGGGCACCCCACCCACTGACCCCTTCAGCCCTGGGGCAGCGCATGCCATGTGGGTCCGGGGGTCACTGATTCCATGACCTCGGTGACATAATTATAGCCTTACAGATAGGGCAATTCTCCTGCTCCTTCGCTCAGGAAGTCTCACGCACATTTCAGTCCAGAATTTTGGATGCTTCAAAGGGTGTTGTAGATCCCCACCAAAACTAGTGTTCGTGTGTGTGTGGAGTGCCTATGCTTTCCAGAGAACTGGGTTTCTTAAAAACCTCCCCTAACATGCACTCTTAATAAAAATGTTGCTCGCTAGTGCCGTTGGAATTGTAAAAGCAATGGGATGACTGGGGCACAGTATTTCCGTTTTACAAGTCGACGGCTGGTCAGAGCAAGCAAAGGTGAAATGACACCGCTAGCTTGTCTCTGTGTGGAACGTTACAGCTGCGGCATTGCCTCTGTGCCGCTGCAGCACTTCAGGCTAGACATTGCTTCGTCTGACGGGCAGGGTCTCCCTGGGTGTAGGTAACTCTCCCACCCGCACCCGAGATGATAGCTATGTCGATGGGAGAATTCTTTGTATCCCTTGGGGATGGGATTCTTCCATTGACCCAGTGTTGTCTGCATTAGGGGTTAGGTCACCGTAACCACATCATGCGGAACATGGATTTTTTTTTGAACCATACGGTTAGGTCACCGTAACCACATCATGCGGAGCGTGGATTTTTTTCACACCCCTGAACCATAAAGCTGAGTCATCCTAACTTTTTAATATAAACTGGACCTTATGAGCTGGACACACCAAACTTTGTCCTGCTTTTACCAGAACTCTACACGTACTTTCGTGGCATCCTGTTCTGCTGCTTACCCTTCCTTCTTTTAAAAACCGATTCCCCACAATGCACCTGGACTGTGAACAAATTGAATCATATGTATGCAATCCTGCCAGAATGCCATCAGCTTCATGTAGCCCACCAGTGCCGGGCTAGTGTGAAGGCAGCAATGACATGTCTGTTATCCCTACCAGGCTCTCATTGTGACTCAGATTGGATGACTGATTGTTCACAAACCAGTCATATGTTTTGACAAAATTGTCACTTAAACCTAGGAGCCGTTTTCTTTTTCAGAGCAGTCTGGCATTGCTGACGTTGTTTTAGCTCATCTGATTGATGCAGAAAAGACTTATCATACAATTGCTCTGGTGACGGATGCCCATTGCTCTAGACAGAAATTGCAACCCATGGGTTTTGCTAGTCAATCTTGGGGGGGAGAGAGCCCCCTGTCATCCTCCTCCTCGTCGTCCTCCTGTCTGTGCTTGCCCTGTTTCTAATACATAACTCTGAGCTCCTTCTGAAGCAGTCAGTTGCCTTTCCTCCTGTCCCTTCTAAGCTATTTCACCATCTTGGAGCTAATGAGAGAGTAGGCTGCCAAAAGGATATTTTGGTTGAACTTTTTCCTCAGGTAGCACAATAGTTCACAAGACTTATTTCTACAACGCGTGGTTCAAAGGTGGCAGGATCTTGTGCACAGTTTGATCTGTGCCCCAAGCTGCTGGTCTTATTAGTCAATATTGACATACTACAAATGACACAGACAGCAAATGTACCCTGGCATAGCTACCGCAGTGCCATCACTACTTCAGTCATTGCTGAATCTGGTGATCTATTCAGCCATGGCCATTCTTAGCAGGTTGGTTTCAGATTTGGTTTTTCGGATGGCTAAGCCCTGTGACTGATTTCTCTTCTCTTTTGCTCTCTTATCAAGGTTGCTGCAATTAACCCTAATCATCCACTTGCTCAGATGCCTTTGCCCCCATCAATGAAGAATTGCATTCAGCTGGCAGCGTGTGAAGCCAGCGAATTGTTACCTATGATCCCTGACCTACCGGCTGACCTTTTCACATCCTGCCTTACTACGCCAATCAAAATTGCTCTGAGGTGGTAAGTGTCTCACCTGTTCTGTGGGGAGAAAGCGTGGTCGGCAAAGCTTGTCTGTTGAACTGATGGATTTGTTGAGCTAGTCGTTTTAGCCATGCTAAAGTTTCTCCGCAGTGCTGAACTACATGGATCTATCCTGGTGACTGACAAGATGCTTGCAAAGTAGATGACTGGGCTGTCTAGAAGCCTCGGTTCTTTACCTGCCAAAGGTGTCAAAGAGCGCTATGTTGTGAAAAGTCTGCCTCTCTGTGCGTGTAAGGACGCCGAGAGAGGAGCTCCAGATTGTGAACCGAAAAAACCCCCAGTTCCAAAGAAATGTGTTCAGATGTCATTGTTCCTAACAGATAATCTGTCCTGACCAATGCGATATTGGGGAGAGGGAAGTTTGGGATATGCCATTTCTTTTTGTGGAAATGAGGCATAGACATTTGACTGTAAAAATTCATATTGATGTTAAACGTGGTACCCTCAGAAGAAGAATTGTTTCCAGTATTATAGGTGAGTAGTATGGCACGCTCCGTATAAAACATGACCAAACCTCCACAAAAAGAACTTTATTAGCACTGCAAAGCCAAGAACCCAGAAGTTAGGAAAGCCCCTATTTCACTGCATGTGTATTCACAGGAGGATATGCTCCATATTCTGCATAGGAGTTTGATGTGAAAAGGATTGTGATTCTGCAGGCCAATAAGTTTGGAAACCATGCATTTGGAAGAGGCGTTACAGCAATGATGCTTTAGTGTGCATAGAGGCTATAGGAAGGGTATATAAAATATGGTGGTCTTTCGTGGGGAACCTTTAGTTCTGAAGCTTTAGAAAACCATTCAACCCGTTCCAGCATATACACTTATGTAGGCAAGAGCTGAGACTGTTTGCCGTTTTAGCCCCCTGGGAGCTTTTAGTTCACTTGAGTTATTAATGTAATTCAGGAAGATAAATTTGGGGTAAAAAATTACAGTTTTTCCTTTTTTATTGGTTAGTGTGGGAAGAAAAATTGCTGCTTACTGTACTTTAATGTCTTTATGCACCAGGGCGCCAAATGATTTCCATGACTTATCAAGAAATATAACCTACAAATCAACTGCACTGTGGTCATTTCCCTGCTTGTAGCTTCCTATAGTACTTCTGAGCATCGAAATAATAATTGTTCAGCGTGCCTTCCTATGTAATGCTCGGAGAGTAAAAGCTAGAGAGTGAGGTGGATGTTACCTGAGTAGCGGTGTGAGCAGGATGCAACATACCTGAGGGCAAACTTGGATCTTCTCTTCTAATGAAACCTAATAGGGCTGCAAAAAATCAACACGTTTTCAGTCGCCACTGCTCTGAGGCCCAGTCTGGTGCATACTGTGTCAATATAGAATTCTAGAACACTAGAACTGGAAGGGACCTCGAGAGGCCATCAAGTCCAGTCCCCTGCCCTCACGGCAGGACCAAACACTGCCTAGATCATCTCTGACAGGTGTCTGTCTGACTTGCTCTTAAATATCTCCAGTGATGGAGATTCCAAAACCTCCCTGGGCAATTTATTTCAGTGTTTAACCACCCTGACAGGAAGTTTTCCTAACATCCAACTTAAACCTCCTTTGCTTCAATTTAAGCCCATTGCTTCTTGACCTGTCATCAGAGGCCAAGGAGAACAATTTTTCTCCATCCTCTTTGTAACACCCTTTTAGATACTTGAAAACCACCATCATGTCCCTTCTCAGTCTTCTCTGTTCCAAACTAAACAAACCCAATTCTTTCAATTTCAGTCTTCCCTCAGAGGTCATGTCTTCTAGACCTTTGTTGCTCTTCTCTAGACCCTCTCCAATTTCTCTACATCTTTCCTGAAATGAGGTGCCCAGAACTGGACACACTACTCCATTTGAGGCCTAATCAGCGCCAACTATGTCAGGAGAGGACTTCCTTCCAGAAGCTCAACTGTCCCGCCTTTCCCTCAGCTTGCTGGACTTTGTTAGACCTTGAAAGCAGCATCCTCAGTTCCATTTGAAAGCAGCATGTTTTGGTATCGAGCAGTCTCCCCTGCCTAATGATATAGCATCTTACGGCTATTTCTGTGGCCTCTGCCATCCCACAGTGCATCACATACTATATATAGGAACCACTTCACCCATCGCAGAAATATTTTTGTGCTCATTAACAATTCAAACAGCAAGTACCCAATGGCTTGGGACAGAAAGTAAACACTCTGTACGATGGAAATGGCAAGCATTATGTAAGCAGCCAATGTAGCTTCCCAAATTTGGCAGGGCACCAGAGCAAGCAGCTATAAAAGTAAAAATGTCACAGGGTCTTCTAATGACCCCAAGTAATAAGGGCCTTGTTTTCATAGCCTTTGAAAGAGAGGACTTGGTGTCACCCACTGCATGTTAGAAAACAAGTTATAATAGCATGAGTTAGACAGTGCATCAGTCTTTTCTTTCGGATGCTGGCTCTTCGTGCCACAACCATAATCATTTGTATATAATTAAATGTGTTTTGATAACATCTAGTGCATGAGAGGTTAGCTCAATACACCATGAGTGTGAGAGCCCGAGTCAATACAGTGTAGCAAACAAGCCATAACAATATTTAAATTTAGTTTCAGTATTCAGTGTTTCAAGTGGCATGTCATTGGGGGCATATTTCAGTAGCTCAGAGAATACTTTGGGGACTGCAGCTGCAAGTGCATTTCATGGTATGCCAAACACATTCCTGAAGGCTCCGTTTCTCCATGCTGCATTCAAATGTCTGAATAGTTAACTTGTTTTGAATATGGGTACAGTTGAGCAGGGTGAAAGGGAAGGGAGCGGAGAAGCCAAGATTACGAAATATGGTCTTTTAGACTGCACACGCTGATTTTTAGGTGAAAGATCTTTTCACAAATACATTTTTGCTCTTATTGATTGAGCAGAGACCTACATCAGATGTCTGACGTATTTGCTGTTTGCCTAGCTTCCTCTTGTTATACTATGTGTTTACTTGGTCTGTGCCCACTGCACTGATTTCTAGCAATGGAAGGAGATGGGATATCTGTATTAAGCACACGGAGCTTTGCTGTTTCACCTAATGGTGTTTGATAGAGAACTTTTTTTTTTTTGCTCACCTGCTGACTGTGATCCTATGAAATCCCAAGAGCCCTCGTGAAATAGTAGTCTGGGGAGCCTTGGCTGTAAGGTTCTTGTGCCAGGCAGTGGAATTGAGAACGGTGAGATGAGAAGCAAGAACTGTGGTTTGATGAATTGCTCTTTTCCAGACAGAAACCAAAGGATTGGGGGTTTGCTCAAACACAAAGGGTGGGTGCTGAAGCAATGACAAGACAGAGGAAATGGTTTGGGACCAATATGATCCACATTTAAATGATGGGCACATGCCATTTTCTCCACAGTGTGCAAATGTCCATCTTGAGCGGCCCGGAAAGTGAGCGCACAGTGCAGAATCGCACTCACTGGTTCCTGCGCTTTCAGACGTGCAGACAGAGAGGCGTGGCACGCTTCGGGAGAAAATTGGCTCTTTCATGCTCACAGGTGTTAACACTTGCTCAGTCCAGTTTTTACCAACTGCTCTGTGTTCTTAAAAACAAATCCATACCAACATGCAACCCCATTGCTATGGCTTCTTGGATTTCAGGAGTCAATCAAGAAACCAGGACTTAAGTATCCCTTCTGCATTCTGGGTTAAAAAAAACACTCACACCGTGGAGAGATTTTGCCTGATTTCGTTTATCAGGCCATTGGCACCATTAATGTCCTGTATCAAGGCTTTATGTGGCAGCATAGCCACTCTTAATCCTGTCTGTCTCATGGCCCACCACCTGCAGCCAAGAGTGTATGCAGTTGTCACAGCAGTGTCTGAAACGCACATGGAGCCTTCAAATTTGAGGGTAAGACTGATGCAAAATAGAAGAGAAGATTACAAAAGAGCCTTTGGGCCTGGCTTTTGCCATCAACTTCCAAAGCACTTCCAGAATAACCAGTAATTGTAACAAAAAATGTTCTTCAGAACCTCTGGCACTTTCTGTAGCGGTGTTTCTTAATCTGTGTTCCGCAGCATGCTGGTGTTCCGTGAGGCAGTCTGAGATGTGCTGCGGAGAACAGAATTCAAAATGGCCGCCCTTAAAGGGGCACATGACCTTTTTACTTTTTTTCCCTCAACCTCCCCGACCCTTTTTTCCCTCAATAACTGTCCCCCGTGCCTTCCCTCCCTCCCCCCCCTTTTTTTTGGTCAACAAAAAATCCTTGATGTTCCTCACAAAAAAAAAAAAAATGGTTTCCTGGGTTTTAAAAAGTTTAAGAAACACTGTTCTATAGTGAACTGTTTAATTAACCTGTTGACTGGAAGTGTTCATAGCCTCCCTCCAATCAAACCAGAAGCATTCACTGCACACTAAAAAGCCCCCAGTATTCTTGTAAATAAACGTGTAACTCTTCCAGATGGACTCTCTCACGTGTGCCTGTCTTTGTCTGTCCACATGAGAATGTGGGGTACCTGGGCAATATTTTTCTGACAAAAATAGTGTATTTGCCAATGAATCCTAGAAGTGAAAGGGACCAGAGAGGTCATCAAATCCAGTTGCCTGTCCTCACGGCAGGTTTAAGCACTGTCTAGGTGTTCCCTGGTAGATGTCTATCCAGCCTGCCCTTAAATATTCCCCCATAATGGACATTCCACAACCAAAATGAAGGTTTGAGTCAATCAAAGCTATTCCCGCAAATAGTTCTGGACCCTGCCCTCCCCCCCCCAAAAATTGAGACTAGATTCACAAAATCGCTGGAGGATGAGGTGGAGCTGCTGTTCCATAGTAGCTCAGAGGTTAGGGCGCGCTCTTGTGTGTGAAGAATGCAGGCTCCGATCCCCGCTCTGGAGTGGGTACCAGGTTTTCTGTCCCTCCTGGGCAGTGCTCTGGACCTAGAGGGCACCGATGGGCAACCGTGATGCAAGTGGGCCTCATGAGTGGCTCTCCTTCATCTCAGTGGGTGCATGTGCCCCATGCATCCGCTCTGTGCCTCCCTCCCCTACGCCCT